GTTATACTATGTCTACAGCATTCCCTCTATCAGGGAGGTGACTTGATCAAAAAATTTCAATAAGATCAAAGTACGTAGTTTGGAAGGATTTGTTCTTGACAAATCTGTGTTGGCTTCTACTTACCATGGCATTGTTTTCTAGGTGCTTGCTCAATGACTGCTTTATGATCTGTTCCAGAAATTTGCCTGGGAGTGATGCCAGGCTGACTGACCTGTAGTTCCCAGGTTCCTCTTATTTGCCCTTTTTGAAGATAAGGGCAACATTAGCCCTCCTCCAATCCTCCGGAACCTCCCTGGTTTCCCATGATTTAAAGAAATCTCCCATCACTACTATGTCGTGTCTCTTTGAAAACCCTGCAATTTGTTTTCCAAAAGTTTCATCCACTTCCTCTCTTTGATTGGGCAGTCAGTAGTAGACTCCAACTACCAAGTTCCTTTTTTTTCCCCCAACTAGATTGATCCAGATGTTCTTGATGGGACAGCAAATCTCTTGTATTTCTGTGCAGGAATCATATTTTTGAGATATACTGCCATTCCACCTCCCTTTTTATTCTCTCTGTTCTTTTTGATCAGTTTATACTCAGTTGCTGTATGCCAGTCATGGGGGTTATCCCACCAAGTTTCAGTTATTCCTATCAAGTCAGAGTTACTGTCCTGAATTTAAATTTCCAGTTCTTGTTTGGTTCCCATACTCCTGGCATTCATATACAGACACCAGAGATTGTGTGGCCTTTTTGTCTTTGTACATTTTTATGAATATTATGATGTTTATTGTAATGTTTATTGGTGTGATTATTATTGTTAGTGTTATTATTGTTGCCCTTTTGATCAGTTTGGTCCATTCTTATTGTGTGTAAGGTTTCATCTACCTTTAACTCTGTGCTTGCATCTCGCTCCCTCTTCCAATTCAGTTTAAAGCCCTTCTGACACAATCTGCCCAGTCCTTGTTAGATGCAAGCAGTCTCTTGCTAGTAGTCCTTCTTCTCCTTTGGTAAAAGAGCCATTCTACAAGGCAGTATTAACTTTATGGGGCAACAAGGCCAATGGTCATCTGAAGGACCATGAGACATTCAGTGGGGGGGGGGGAACAGAGGAACAAAAGTCTATGAGAAGAAAAATAAGAGAACAAGACTTTGGAGATTTTTGCATTTTATAATGTTTATCTTTTCTTAAGGAGGAAATGAGCCCAGCATAAGCTTAGAGGAGATGACTGTGAATCCTGCTTGGTAGCAAAGAGGGTTGTATGGTATCTTCTTTGTAGTATCTATCAGTTTCGTTAGTGAGGGTGCATTTATTTGGGAGATGAAAGTTTAATTATTTAAAGCCACATTCCCAGGACTAGGCTATGGTATTCGGCTACAAGGCAAAGAATAAGGTAGAGATCAGCTCTCTTTCCAAGCACAAAAGCCAATATGGCTGATTGTATTGTTTCTTTAATACCTGGTGATTGGACAGCATCATCCATGAGACCCATAGGAAGCAGCTAGATAAGAGGATGCAAGGCAGGCCACTACTTTGTATATATCAGTCATAGGGTAGTATAATTACACCTTTAAAATGTAGGATAGTATAACAAATACTCTCTGTTGAGTGTCTTCTGAATCATCTATTTGAATCCAGGATTTTTTTTTCTTGGTAATAAAAATACAGAGGTATACCTGTCAGTTTCAGGGGCTGATATACTGACATCTGTGACAGAACTTTAAATATTTCGTTAAACTCCTCTAGCCGTGCAGAAGTGCAGGGATTCACATAACAGAATATCTTCAAGTTCTCCAGAGTAATCCACCCCTTTTCTCACTAACTGGTAATTAAAGTCTCAATAATTCACTCTCAAACATTAATAGTAAAAAGAATAAAAAACCATATATTTTTTTTACTTACAGATCAACAGCAAACTGGCAAACATGATTGTTTTCAGCAAACAGATTTCAACAGACTAAGATAAAGAGAGAGAAGAGCAGAGAGGTGGGGCTTTCTCTGAATTCAAAGGCAAGAGGGAATTATTGGTTCTTGCTGGATAGGTTCACAGCCACTCCAGCACTGTCAAGTCCCTCCCAACTACATCTATTAAGGCAGCATGTGAGGCTGTAAGAACTCCAACAACATCAGATAATGACGTAGTGAAGATAACTTAGCCCTTTGTCCCTAACAACCATTGCCCCATCTATTGCTGGAACAAATTATGAATAAATTGCATAGTAAAACAGACTCATCCAAACAAGCACCCTCCAGATGGAGTTGTAGTCAAACATATCTTGAAGGTACTTGGTTAGGCAAAGAACATTGCTCAAGAGCTTTAAAAATTCCGGGCAGGATATTTATGTACCAAGCTTAGAAAAGCTTACTATCATTGAGATATTATCCTGTGAAGTAGGGATGCGGAAGCAGTGTTAAGATAAATCAGATAGTACAGGTTTTTGTATTGTTTCTATGGTTGAGGACGTACTATAGAAGACAACCAAGGCATCAACCCATCTGCCACCCCCACTTAATTGCTTGGAAATTAGAGATAATTACACCTAAGATACATAATTAAACATTTTTAGTGTGGTTACTAAATATTCTCCTAACCTTTTAATCTTCATAAGCAGTGCAGTCATTGCTTCTTTCTTCTGCACACCCATTTTCTAAACTAGTCTCCTTCTCCACTCCCTGGCTTTCCTGAAAAAGTCTTTCAGCTAGTTAAATAAGTATACAGATGTTTCCTCTTGCATCCTCTTGACCCACTTCATGTTTCTGTACTCAAGAACAAAATATATCCATGTACAACATATTCACTACGATTTATTCACAAGAAGCATGAATTGTTATTGCTATCATCTCACTACATCTGAAAAAGATACTACAATAATCTGTCAAAAATCTCCCCTTTTACATAAACTCAAACCTATTGTATAGCCATAGGAAAAAGATAACCTAGCTGGGCTTCCATACCACTTTTCTCAAGATGAGAGACACACTTGAAATCTGCACACTTCACATAAACAGAAAAAACACAGCATAGAGAAATCCACAGTAACTCAGCATAGAGAAACTGTAACATGTTTACATGGATTTTTTTTTTTACCATCGTGGGTACCACATGTCTGCTCTGGTGCTCTCTGTTTCTCTCCAGCACTGGATAATTTAGCCTGTATCTTTTAAAAGATAAGATAAATTAATGGTTAACTTGCTTTGCCATTTCTAATACCTTGGGAAACTATAAGCACAATGCAAGGCTTACAGAGCTATACATTATTAACCTCACCCAACTGTAGGTTTTCTGTTATAGACACTCACAAGCAACAGATCAGGAACAAACAGCTTCTTTGGGGTAAGCCTGAAGAAATCTCTTTGTAAATGTGCATTATCCATCAACAGACTTCTAGAATCTCTGTAGGAGAATCTCAGCTGTTCCATGTATATGCACTGGGCACAGATTTTTTTTTTCAGTGTTGTCCATATGAAGTCTATGCTAATGTTAAGAAAGGGTGGTGGGGGGAATAACGCTGCCTTGTAAGCTTATTTGAAAAAGAAAAGCATTAGTAAGGCAAACATTTTCTACAGTGATATCTTTGGCAAATGTCCCTTCTGGATAACAAATTTTCTTAAATTTTGAAAAACTGGCGAAAGACCATTTGTGCACATACAAAATACAGTTTCTTCTAAATTAAAAATGGTGGCATCATGGAACCTGGCATGCAGCTCTCAGTTGCTGAATGCTGCAAAAAAATTTTTAAAAAAACTGAACCAAAATAAAACACCAAAACAAAAAACCAACCCCCCCCCAAAAAAAACACCAGTATTAACTTAGATTCCTGCAGCTAGATTAGTTGCATTGCCTTCTACCACTCATCTCAGGGTTAAAGACAAACACATTCCCATGAGGAAGAACCCATAAGATCCTTTCCCTCAGAAAACTTAAGAGTTCTGCCATAATCTCTTTTAAAAAGGTTTGCATGGAAGAAAGTCCAGCTGATCTCAGTGGACCTTTGTTTTTAAGCACTAAAACAAAGGTCAGTACCAAACACATCTTTTAAAGTAAGTCCCATTTAATATGACATGGTACTGAAAATGTGCAGCCTTGCATCCCAAGCCAAACAAGGTGTAGTCAGAAGTACAGGTCTCTGGTTCAGTACCAGTTCCTTAGAGAGAAAGGCGCTGTGCTTTCTGCTGCATGACCCAAACAATGCATTTTTATCCAGAGGCATTTCCTCTTTAGACCTATCCCAAGCATGTTTGTTCAAAGGCAGGATGCCTAGAACCCAGGGCTCTCAGTGGGACTGCACTGTCCACTGTTCAACCTGTGCGTGTTAAACCAACCTCTGCTTCTGCTTCCTCTTCCTTTGTCAAGAGAGAACTTTCCTTGTTCCCTATGACATTAGCAGCCGGATCCTGTGCCTGACCAGTATCAGGCACCCGAGGCTGCAATCCTGAGGCTTCGACCTCGTTCCGCTGAGTTCCACGTCTGAGCAGACCAGATAGATAGGTCTGCGCTTCCTGCCTGCAATTCTAAGCATATTTTACTTCGAAGTGATTTATCCCTCAGAGCCCACACGCTTAGGATTGCGCTGCCTACCTGCAGCAGCTCTGAGCATATTTACTTAAGAGTAAGCTTCATCGACCTCGGAAAGGACTGTTCAGGCAGGAACAAATGTGGGACCGCCTTCTCCCAGGAGGGAAATTATTTCTGAGTCACGATAAAGCATATTCCAGCAGCCAGTGGTGCAGCGCCCGTCTGCTGAAGAATGCAGTGTTACACCAAGTTTGCACATAGTCCTCCCCCCCTCTCCCAGTCTACTAAGGAAGAGGGGAAAAGTTCTGTTCCCTTTGCCCGCCCTGTTTGCAAAGGCAACGGAGGCAGCGGTTGAGCCTAATCCAGGCCACCCCAATCAGCCAGTAAGACGACCACCGGTGCGACGGCAGTGGTACTCGCGGTGTGTGTGTTTGTGTGTGTGTGTGTGGGGGGGGTTGGCTTGCTTTCAACCGTGCCCTCCTGCTGCCCACAAGCTACTCACCAGTTCCCCAAGCGCACCGTCAAAAGCAGGAGCAGGAGCCTCACGCCGCCGCAAGGGCTCCACAGAGGCGACGGGAAGCAAAGACACGACGTCGACCAGGCGTCCATGCGAAGCTCGGGACCCCCCCAGACAGTTTTCTTCGCTGCTGGTGTTGGCGGCGGTGCCAGTGCGCGCGGGCTTTTCTGCCTTGACTCCGCCGTCTCCCGCCCACATTGGCCCTCTAGTTATTGGCGGCGGCGGCGGCGGCAGCTGCAAGGCTAGCACTTGAGGAGAGCGCGAGAAACCCCACATCAAACAGGTAGCATCGGCTTCGGGAAGGGACCCGTCAAGCCTTGATTGACCAATGGGCTCTTGAGGCTGAGCCAAGCCTCGAATCAATTCGACCGAAGGGCGGGGCTTTCTTTTTATTAGAAAAGGCGGTCACAAAATAAAACAAGATTTTTACAAAAAAAATTTGGCGCGTTGCGAGAACGTCCCACCTCAAATTTACGAAATGGGCGTAAGAAGATTTGAGGGTGTTGTTTTTTTTTTCCCTTCCCCGTTTTAAAATAGAAAGTAGTCCTATTTCGACCCGTTACAGTTATGGGGAGCATGTCGCTAGTTGTGAGGAGGGACGTGGTGGTGCGACGTCGGGGGTTAGGCAGTGGTCAGCCGGTGTAACTCTAGCTACTGTGACAAGCGGGAACTGCTGGGCTGTTTGCGAGGAATACTGTATCCGCTTTCGAAGCAAAACTCTCCCGGGAGAAACTGAGGGAAGCTTCTCTCTGAAAAAAAGCTGATGGCGGGTTTTTCTTGCTCTTTCTCTTTGCGGAGGAAGGGAAAGTCCAGAGTATTGACTCGCCGCCTTCTCTTTTTCTTTTCTTTGAACTGTTCCGGTCATCCTGATTGCATAAAATATATGATTTTATGCGATCAGGATGACCTGAACAGTTCAAAGAAAAGAAATATATACAGTATATGCAAACACACACACACTCTCTCTTTTAATTATATCTACTCTCATGCCTGTGTACTGCTACCTGTAACACAAAGATGCACAAAATCACATTTTTGAATTAAGTATACATTATTTGGAAATAGTTATTCTTCTATTGTTCTGTATTCACATTAGTTAAAACAAATTGCCACATTGACTATAGAAAATACAATCGGGAAATGGACACTGTTTCCTTCCAGCTACTTTTATATCAACACAAGTGTGGATGCATGAAATATAATTGCCATTTTCTATACCTGATGTGGAAAGTTGTGTCTGAGCAACTTGGACCTGTATGTATTTTTTGTCAACATTATTATTGCAAAAGAGATTACTGACAAAATATATAGTCTGGTCAATTAACATTTACACTGGCGTTAAATGTTGATTTCACTATATTTTTTAAAATTATTTATTTAAAATAGTTTTACCCTGCCTTTCTCCTTGTAAGGCAGCTTACATCATTGAAAGCCAATATTTAAAGCTAAGAACAATGGGTATAAAGAAGCAACTTACTTTGTTAAAACACAATATGAAACAATAATGATACAAATGTTAAAAAGGAACAAACAAATACCACTCTGAGAGATGGTAAACACAAGAAGTACTAAAGACCTAGTCAGGGAAGTAATGCAATAACTGTCCATCTAAAAGGCACACTCATATAGCCAGTCACTGAGGGAAAGCTTTGCCTGCTTACAAAAAGACAGCAAAAATGGGACCAATCTGGCCTCCTGTGGGAGGAAGTTCCAAAGTCTGGGAGCACCAATAGAGATGGCCCTCTCCTGTGTCCCCATCAGACATACCTGTGAAGGTGGTGACACCAAGAGAAAGGCCTCTTAATACCAAGCCAGCTCATAATGGGAGACACGGTCTTCAAGATAGCTTGAAATAGACAATTTCCAGTTGTGAAATTCTTGGAGTGGTTAAAATTTGCCCCAAAACTGACTTGAAGTATATGTTCAGTACGCAAAATTTCCTGAAAAGTATGGACCAGCAGAGGCTAGTAACTGAGGTGAAGAAACAGTTGAAGCTCTAACAGGAGCTATGCAAGGGGCTGAACCTTATCCACAAAATATTTATTTTATTTATTTATTTTATTGATAACACTGCCCCTTTAGTGCAAGCACTACAATCAGCAGTTTACACAATTAAAACTTACAACCCCACAACAGCAACAAAATACTGAGTTAGCACCTTTACAGTTTAGATTAAAACCAGGAAACACCCTTCTCCCTCAGGATCAGTCAGCAGTCTCCACTGGTAAAGAGTAGGAATTTTGTTATGAAGCTGTACCCTAGTGTTACCTGGAACTTTCTAAAATACTCCAAATAGTAGAAAATCTCTAATTATACTGACATGTGGTGCAAACTCTGGGCCATTTTCATGTTTAGTGGCCTCACTATAACAAATTTATTTTAAATCATGAAACTCCTTCTCAGGACTCAGCCTAAGTAGACATGCATAGGATTACATGGTGCAGCACCCTGATATTACTAGCATTTATCCTGAGGGCTGATAGAGACCATGCATGATGATCCCTGAAGAGAGCATCCATATGGGGAGAAGCCTCCATTGACTACATTAGCTATCAGTTCTACTCCCTGTGATTGTTGCTGCCAGAGAGCCCATTTGTAGCACTACAGTATTAGAAACATATTCACCATTTTTATAAGTCTAGGTTTCTTCATGCAGTAACACAGAGAAATAAGTAAAATGGATGTTTTGCAGTATTCTTGTTCTTCTGAGGATCCAGTTGTACGTTACAGATAACAGTGGTTTTGTGGTATGTGATTGTCACAGCAGGAGCTTTTCTTACTTCCTGTAATTTTCAAACTAACTTCCTGTAATTTTCAAATTAACTTCCTTTCACAGACTTTGTGAAACATCTTCAGACCATAACCATGTTCTTCCTTTGGAAGTCTGATTTCTCAGTCGCAAAGGGCTGTCTCAGTTGCACCTCATGAACACTGATGCAATTTCAGTTGTAGTAACTGATTATCTGCAACATATAGCTTGGCTGTAGTGCTGCTAGAAGGAACAAGGGACTTCTTGAACTTAAATAAACAAGCATGTAGAAAGCAGAGCTGGACAAATGATCAGAAAAGCTGCAGCAACTACATAAATTCAGGATTGTTATATCCTACCATTAAGGTCCCTGGCCAAGTACCTCCATCTCCTATAAATAGAATACTCTGTGAGGATGCAGTGCTGTTCATCAATATAGTTGTTAAATTTGGAAGTGCAAATGATTATCATGACAGTTTCCATTGTTGCCACTACCCATCAACAAAAGTTCAAAAATGCAGGTGGCTAGATCCATCCTTATAAACAAATGGAAAGTGGATCTTTGACAGAATTTGCCTCTTAGTTGTCCATTCAAGACCAATCTACCTCCCAATGCTTTTTAAGAAACCTATTTCTCTCCCAGCCAAGCTAAGCACAGGGAAAGTAGGAGAGCCTGATGGAGCTGATGTCACAGCCCCTTGCTACTCAGAAAGTCTTGGCAATATATCCATGTGACTCCATTACACTGCTGGTTGGCTTGCTGCATACGAGTCAATGCACAGTGTTCATGTGACACACCAAATCCAGAAGCATTATTTTATAATGAATCACCAGCTGCCACTATTTGACAGAATGCTTTGCAAGAGGAGTGATAGAGGCACAGGAAACATCAAAAGCAGCAGTCATACTTCAAGGCATGACAAAACCGCAGAAGCCTCTGCAGGTCTCTGAGAACTGCAGGTCTCTGAGAAGACCTGCAGTTGTAAGATCGAATCCACATGACGGAGTGGGCTCCCATCGCCTGTCCCAGCTCCTGCCAACCTAGCGGTTCGAAAGCATGTAAAATGTGAGTTGATAAATAGGTACCTCCACGGTGGGAAGGTAAAGGCATTCCGTGTCTAGTCACGCTGGCCACATGACCACGGAACCTGTCTATGGACAAACACTGGCTCTACGGCTTGGAAACGGGGATGAGCACCGCACCCTAGAGTTGGACTAAATGTCAAGGGGAACCTTTAACTTTACTCATCTCTAAGAGAAACATTACTACCCTCCTATCTATATTTAGGGGTGTGGAGTAGAGGTTCCCACAAGATTATTTAAGTATCTTAAGTCAAGGTGAAGAATCCATTTTGGTCCAAGAGCTGAATTGGCTCCAGACAATTTGAAGGCCATGGATCAAAAGCTCACCTACGCAGCCACATGCACAGAAACATTCACATATGTTCAGTAATATAAAAATACATGCTCACCATTTATACACCACCTGGGATCACGTAGACACTCACTGTTTATGTAATTTGCCTGGTCATCTTTGCTGACAGGACCACAACCTGAACCTATATTAGGGCTGGTGGCTGGCATGCAAGACCTGGAGCACTGGTTGAATGTATGGGTTCAGAGCAGGGATAGGCATGGACATCTAAAATTCATTTCAGATCCCCTTTTGGCAGTTTGGACAGCTTTTGCACGTATTGATTCTGAGCCAATTCATTTTAACTCTGGTCTCAAGCACAAATGGAGACTCAGAAGCCAGAAGCTTCATGTTTCCTTTTGACTATCTGGGTGGATACAAAAATTGCTGTAACTTTGTTTTCTTTGTCAGAAGCAGATGACTTGAACAATTATAGTTGCATCTGGGAAGCAGATTATACTTGTCAAATTGGAGACAAATACATATAGGCAATTTTGCGCTATGTGCTTTTAATATTGTTGCGAATTGAGCTGCCAATACCCCTTTTATTTAATGGAAGAAATTTGCAGCCACATTTGCCTCTTATGAGGGCATCAAGGCAGCAAAATGTCAGATGTCAAGGCTGATTTTTGTGTGTGCAAATATAGACTTTCCATTTTGTGGATATCCAAGAAGTGATGCAGATATTCTCTCTGTGTGTTCTCTATGGACCATATATCTGAAAATGACAGATGACATGGAAATGTCATTACATTAAAAACTAACAAAATGTCAGAAGGATAGATGTGGCAATTCACGTGGAAGGGGAGTCTTAAAATATTTTGGGGGTCAATTTGTATGAGAACACATATCATAGACATTTTCCAAAGCCTAGTGAAAATTGCACGGTTCCAGAAGAATAAATGCAGAAGCTCGAGAAATATAAGAAACCATTTAAAATGTTTGAAATTTCTTTGAAATAGTGAACAAAGAAGCTGGAAGTTTTTTAAAAAAAAATAAAAGTCACAATCTCTCCTTCAA